TGCAGCGCTGGCAGCTATGGATGCGTGCGCCGGCGTAAGCATTCGGCGCACGGATCCATAGCTGCCAGCGCTGCATACTGTCGTAGGACGTTCCCGCGGTCGCGTGCGCCTTGCCGCGGAACTGCGCGCAAGATCTGCGCTCAGCACTTCGGGCCAACACCTTCTTTCGGCAACGCTTCTCTAGTATCCCGTCTCATCTGGGTCTAGGGGCCTACAGTCTACAATACTACTAGTACTACTGTACTAGTACTAGTAGTATAGACTATAGTACTAGAGCCAGATGAGACGGGATACTAGAGAAGCGTTGCCGAAAGAAGGTGTTGACCCGAAGTGCTGAGCGCAGATCTTGCGCGCAGTTCCGCGGCAAGGCGCACGCGACCGCGGGCACGTCCTACGACAGTATGCAGCGCGGGTAGCTATGTATCTGTGCGCCTAATGCTACCGCCCGCGCACGGATCCATAGCTGCCAGCGCTGCATACTGTCGTAGGACGTTCCCGCGGTCGCGTGCGCCTTGCCGCGGAACTGCGCGCAAGATCTGCGCTCAGCACTTCGGGTCAACACCTTCTTTCGGCAACGCTTCTCTAGTATCCCGTCTCATCTAGATACACAATGTAGAGATATAATATGTTCACACTGCTATACTAGCTGCTAGACGTAGCTCACTCTTCACAACAGTACGACATGTGCAGTATATGACACGTTGAGTAACCTTAGTTTTCTGCTATCATGCCACCAGATGTGATATTAGGGGATGTAGTGTACACTGTTGACCACAAAAAAACGATGGCCAAAATAATTATCTTCAATCTTAGCTCTAGAACTATATCCTTCACTCTGCCCTGCGGCAGAGCGAAGGGCCATAGTTCTAGAGCTTCTTCAATCTGTACATGAATGTGTTTTTAACACTAGGCCATAATAAAATTATTGTTTGTTTGCCCTCACCTGACCGACCCGCCAAAAAGGGCCGACTCAAAAAAATTCATTGATTTTTTTTTTTTTACAAATTGTATTACTGTTACGTACATTAAAAATCTGTAGCCAATTATACATTACATGCACCAAGCAAAACAAACATTCAACATAAAAGGTATATCCACACAAGTACACCCGAGCATGTATAGACACCATGCTGAATTTGTAAAAAGACACATTCACAAAAAAAGCCTACCTACCTACCCAAACTTTTCAGCCTGGGACGGGTGAGGGCAAACAAAGATTTTTTTAATTGTGGCCCTATTTTACTCTATTTTACACCTGCCACAGAATGACAGCATAGGTAGAGTGTGAACATCCTAAACACAGCCATTAATAAACTAGGCAGTGGCTGGTGCTCTGGTAACCGGACCGGGAGTTCTTTTGGCTTGTGCTCTGGCAATCCCAGAATGCACTGCAAAGTCATGGTCTCGCTCAATGTCAAGTCATGCTTTTTCAATCACAATTCAAATTTGACTTCCCTGTGCCTCTTGCAATGAACCGCTTTCCTCCAAAAACACAGGCGTAGTTCACAGTGTAATACTTCTAATTTTTCATTAGAATTTTCCACTCATTTCGGTACTCTGTACAAGGTTTGTGTGCCGCCATTTTTGTGTTTGCACGGATTCGTGGTCCGGTTACCGGAGCACGAGCCACTTCGAATAAAATATTCCATCTCCACATTCAACCTTAGCTTCATTTACCGCAAAAATGAAAGTGCTTTCAGTGTATAGTAAAATAGTTTGGTCAAAAATGTGATAACTTAGTTAGTATTAGTATCAGTGTATGATTAGATACAATAATGTAACCCAACAAGAGTAGGATACAACTACTCTTGTTAGGTTACATTATTGTATCTATAGATTCTAGTGTACTATCATATCATATATGACAGTATGTATTACAATGATTATGTATGTAAAATATGTTTTCTTGTTCTTTTTTTGTACTAATGTAATGTACTCTAATGTAATGTATTGTAAGATATTATAATGTAATGTAATGTAATGTAAAGTGATTTAATGTAATGTGATGTAATGTAAAGTGATTTAATGTAATGTGATGTAATGTAATGTGGATGTAAAGTAATGTAATAATTGAAATCTTTTACTTGAAAATATTCTAACAGTGTTTACTTAATCAAGGCTTAGGGTATCTAGCTGACTTCGATGACCGCATTGTCCATTCGCCATACCCGTGCCGTTTATACTTGAACTTATACTGTTAACTGGTTTTTTTCCTCTTGAATTAAAATATTGTATTAATTTATTAAATTGTACCGGTACCAAAAATGTTTAGCACTAATAAAGTATCTTGAATGTTGTATGTCTTGGGTATTTCATTTAATCCGTCCTCTCTCGCTCTCTTGCTCTCTCTCTCTTTCACACACACACGCACAGCTCTCTCTCTCTCTCTCCCACACACACACACCTCTACCTCTCTCTCTCTCACACACACATACGCACATGCACGCACGCACGCACGCACGCACGCACGCACACACACA